TAAACTTTTCCTCCTCTAGTTGTTCTTGTTAGGTCTTTTGTTCACAGAAGCAAAAAAGCTGACTAAAACACTAATGATGATTTGCTTTGTAGAGTCCTTCACTTGGAAAAGTGGTACCTATACTTAAAGAGAATCTGCATTTTATCGTAGGGACAAGAATGGTTCTGGATGGGGAAACAGTAAGTAAGCAGGGCTCATGCTTCCACTTTGAGAACAACATTCCAGAGGTCTGCACCTTCTGTATCAGAGAAGTGGATGGTCGCTTTCAAGCTAGCAGACAATTATGTTGGGTGTGTTCCAACAGGTCATAATTATTTATTTGAGTCAGGTCAGAAATGGTTCTAGCATGTAAGATGGAGAGTGAAAAAGGTTAAGTAGGTCCATGTCACCCTTGTTCATAATTTTTTGCTTAGTTCACTTGTGGTCTGCTGTGTGGCAGCATTTGCTGTTGATTGTGTGAGTGGGGCTGTACCTCAGTGAGACTGTTAAATGGTATTCTGATGACCATTATCCTAGTTAATTTGGTAGCCTGGTCCATCAGGCTCTCTGCTAGGTTCTTGCAGGATGAACTGGTAAAGATTTCTTTGTACAATTTTTAAGAGAATAATCTTATTCGAATTCATAGCACCAAAAGAAAGAATCCATCTCTCTGTTAGCTCCAGGGTGCCTTTAATTGTTTTCCTGTCAGGGATATCAGATAGCAGATAGCTTATAAATAGTTTCCCATCCTTGTCAGATTGGAGATCATGAATGACAATGGCTCAAATTAGAGACAGTTATCTTGGAGGGCTGTACCTTAATAGTCTGGTGGTGGCATCTGTGAAGTCAGGATCTAGAGCAGCAGTGTGCAGTTGATGTAAAGTGCTGTGGTCACTGTGGTCATGCCCTGGACAAACCTCAAGGGCAGTTCGTGTGTTGTGAGAGACTTCTAATTCCTTACCAATATTAATTCTTCTTTCTTCTTTACTGAGGAAACCCCAGTTCTGGTCAATGAGACAAAAATGGAAGGGTTCTGGTAGGTGTACCATATCTTCCTACATCCCTGTTTGCCTTTATTTTCCTGTCCTAAATGTGAACGGTATCTGGAACTAGAATAGACATTCTGGAACTGTAAGCGAAATGTAACTTTCTGGAAAAAGGTACGAGTAATTGCCAAGACTTAGGTCCTGATGTTTTTGAATGGTAAAAACAATATTTTCAATATCTGTATTCAGACTTGTCACTACATAAAGTCTCCCAATTTATTTAAGTTACCCCTTTCATAGTGACAAAGGTGATGTCCCAAGCAGATATATTATGAGTATATTTCTGAAATGAAACTGCAGCAATGAAAAAACTACTCAAAAAAGTTGGGGGTAAACATAAGAAAACTTATTCAGGGCTAAGTCAATCAATCAAGCAGTAGGACAATCTGGAAATGCATAGATGAATCAAGACAATGAAGCAAAAAATGAAAATGGGGTTGGCAGAGACAAAGCAAAACATGGACAATGAGCTGATATGCGGTTCACATACTTAAAGAGTTCCTCTTACTATGTTCTCCTTGTGTATGTCTTTGTACATCTCTCTGGGTCAAGGGCATATTTTTAAAGACAACAAATTGCACTGGGTAGGCAGGGACAAGATATGGGTGTGAACATGAGAGACATAGCATAGTGATATGCTGTCTCTTAGATAGCTTGCCAAAAAGGGTTGGCAAGATAATATGGCAATACCATAATGTTTTAAACTCCTGTCAAAATTAATTGTGAATGCTTGTGATTAAAAGAAAATATATTAGGTCATCTGCAAAAACAAAAAATCATAGTTGGAAGTCACAGGTAAGTCAAAATTTTTTTTGAAAGAAGGTAACCCAAGGATGTACAAATACAAGGTTTTGCATAAATACAAAACCAATATGATCCACAAATGAAACATGCTGGTTTTGGAGGTTAGTATATTTGCCACCATCTAACATGTTCAAACATATGCTATCATCTGTAGAGGAGATTCAGTAAAGGTTTGGGGTGACATTTTGAGAAGCATTTTGCAATGGCTTAATCTTAACTGTGTTTTTTATAAGTATGAAAAGCAGATATGGTGTAAACCTCTGATCTAGAATAACCAAGATGCATTTTCTCTCCCCCTCTGTAATGGCCATTTCAAAGCATTGGACATACCAGATATGTAGAGTTGTCACATGTACTGCTTTTACCTTTTTTTTCTTTAGTTATCCCTCAAACTCTCCTCTAAATTATAGGGTCTTTTTTTTTTTCTTGTTGTTGCTTTTGTTCTGTTCCCTGTCTTTTTTTTTTTTAATGATCCATTTTCACATGTTTATGTAAAATCCTATATCTCAGCTTATATGGTTGTTTCTATCCATTCCATTCATTGTTGATTACATCTATTTATCTCTTCCTCAGTGACTCACATGGTGCTTTCTGCAGAGCAGACATTTAACAGTGCCTGGGGAACTGCATTTTTGGGTAATAACATCTAATTTCCAGGTTTTGGAAAAGGCTCTGGTTAGGTTAAATTGTCAGCACATCTCAAATTCCTGCCATGTTGATCATTCAAGTATGCACTAGTAACCCAAATAACCAGTGAGATGTGGGGAGATGTTTTCTGGGTGAATTTAAGAGGGAATTTCAAAGCGTTGGACATACCAGATAAGAGGGAATGGGTGACATAAATGCGTTGTGTCTGCAGCTTCCAAAAGAATTCCTGACTTCAAAGAAGGAATTTTTTTTAATTTTTTCCATATTTTCAAAGAAGGAAATTTTTTTTTTTTTTTTTTTTTTTTTTTTAAAGAGAGAGGTGAGAGAGAGAGACAGAGAGAGAATTTTTACTATTTATTTTTTTTTTTTTAGTTTTCGGTGGACACAACATCTTTGTTTGTATGTGGTGCTGAGGATCGAACCCGGGCCGCACGCACGCACGCCAGGCGAGCACGCTACCGCTTGAGCCACATCCCCAGCCCGGAAATTTTTACCAATGGAAACAAAGAGAGCTGAGAGAACAGCAGACAGATTAAATCTCACAGAAATGCTTTGAACCTCTGTGTGATAGTCCAGCTTGGTTTGGGGGATTCTGTACTAGCCACTAGAAGCATCTGAGCAAAGACACATCCAAAGAGTGCATGGACAAAATTTTGAATTACTTTTGATTTTTATTAAATTTGACTCAGTTTTTTTCCCCATCACCTCTTCTGAACATTTTTTCTTTATTTCATTTGTATTTCCCAACTAAGGTGTATTTTGCATGTGTACATACCTTTTATTCAAACTATTTCTTCAACTTGAGGGCCTTTTTGTCATTTCTTTTATTACACAGTGACTGTTTTTTCCTTTCATACCCGTTTTCCTCTCACAATCATTTTTGTGTCATTAGTGGCATATAAAATCTTAGTAATATGCTTATTGTAGCACATATTTGGGGGGATATTACATTATATATGTATGTGTTTGCCTTTCTTAGCTTTAGTTTATGATCCCTAAACTCAAACAAGTGTCCAGTTGGCAAGTTGTGAATAAAAAAATAAATAAATGTTCTCTAGTTCTTAATCCACAAAAATAATATGTCCAGTTACAAGAAATAACTTTATGTTGAGAAAGTAATGTTTACTTTTGAATGTTCAATAAAGTTTGACTCATTTCCCATCTGTAAATCCATCTTGGATCTTTTCTATAGAAGACACGACACTTATTCAGCAACACTTTATGGGGTACACACTGGAAAAAGAAGAGAGAGAAAGACTTCTCAAAGAAGTTTAATGTTAAAAAAAAATGGTGCCAGTATTTTGTCTACATGCATGAGTATCTCAAGATTTTAATTTCTTTTCACTTCAAGGAAAATCGTTATGTATAAACATTTTACAAATCTGGTCTCAAAAAACAATGATTTGAATAATCTGTGTTTTAACGAAAAAATGAATCATTAATTTTCTTAGTTTCTCATATAACATGTTTATTAGACATCTCAGTGTCGAGTTTCTTAAGATTTTAACATTTAACCTTAAGATGGAGCTAATACTCTTTTTGGTCTTGGGAATATATTTTGGACTTTCTCATCAACTTTGAGTAAAATGGATGACACTGTCCTTAAATTGTGCTTGGGGCAAAGACAAAGAAGCATCAGCTCATTTTTTCCAACTAATAAAAAATTTAATGGTGCAGTGTTTATTATAACATCATTTTAATGCTATCATCATAATGTTAAATATTCTTACTTTGCCTCGGTATGGTACTGAAGCTCAATATTATCATTCTTAAACATCTGCAATTTTCACTTGTTTTGAATATAGATACTGAATTTTTAACTTGGATTTTGGAAAAAAAATTCTATTAAAGATCAACATTTATCATCCTTTCCCTGTCCCTCAAGCATAAATTTTCAATCTATAAAATTTTCATAAATTTTCAAGTAAGACAACTTGTCCTGGGATATACTGGGAAGTATGATATTGGGAAGTCTCATATTATTAAGTATAGCTTTTCAAGATCACTTTTTAGAAATAAAAAAATTACCTCAGCATTAAAGAGAGAATTAAAAATCATTGAAGTTCTGAAGGAGTATGTGCTTTGATTATTGTTCCCACCTCTTTCTTTTTTTAAATATAAAGTGGCAATTTGTACTATTTTAGAAATATACATTTATATATAAAGTTTTGCATTCAAATCTCTTTATTTTTGATTAACTATGACTAAAGACCACAAATCAAATAAAAACTCTATATAATATATCCTCATTTCAGCATTTGTATATATACACATATCTATTTGTCAAACAATCCACTGTTTTAAAGGTGATTCTGACTTAAAAAAATGCTATTTACAATTTTATGACAAAGAAATAACCTCAGCCTTAATGGTATTAAAATGAGCGGGGAATTTTTATATTTGACTGGGTCTCATCTTTTGCAGATGAAACTAAGCAACATCATGAAAAACTTTCTCAAGAGCAAGGCCTTGTAGAGTAAGCCAACAGGGTAGAAGAATAGATATGCTATTTCTGGGTCTATGTTTAAAAAAAAAAAAAAAGATTGATGATGTTGCCAGTCTTCTTCACCAAGAAACCAGTAGTCCCAAACTATAATCTCCAAACTTTTCAATGAATAACAATCAATTCATTCTTTATCCTTTACTCTTGTCTTAATACTCTCATCTCCCCATAATGGCACCCAAAGATCGCCAATTTAGAAAAAAATACCGAGTTATTGAGTTGTCATTTTCTTAAAAAGAAGAGTTCTTCTAAAGAAGTTTTCTAGATTGATATGAAGCCTATAAATAATCACATTACGGAGGCTGGGGTTGTGGCTCAGTGGTAGAGCACTCACCTAGCATGTGTGAGGCACTGGGTTCGATCCTCAGCACCATATAAATAAGTAAATAAAGGTATTGTGTCCATCTACAACTAAAAAATATATTTTAAAAAATGAATCACATTACATTACATTGATGTCTCTTTATTGTGCCAATCCATAATGGCTTAAAAATGTTCTATGACTTTCATATGTATAATTAAAACCAAAATTATTACTATGATCAAGAATACGATGGCTTGGGGGTCTTCCAGTTTTCTGAAGCACAAAAATCTTAAAACTACCAAATGAAACTGCAGAATGACTTATTTCTATACTTTGAACTTAATTTTAAAATCAAGTTACGTATATTAACCAGAAAGATGTTTTGTAAGACTCTCAAAAGTTTTGTTTTGTTTTCATTCTCAAGTCTATTGATTTTGAAACATATTACAGTAAGAATTTACAGTAACCATGTCTTAATTTATATCTACATACACAATTTCAAAGCTTTACTAAAAGCCATACTTTTCCTGGGAATCTCCCAGGGCATTTTTCTAAAAACTTTTTCCACTTGAAGGAGAAGATAGATGAGTTAAAGACCCAAAAATTAGAACAACGAAAAGTCAAAGTAATTAATAATTATATTTGGAATAAAACAGAAAACAAAGTATTAAAACTGACTAATTTTTGAAGGAAAAAGACAATTATAGTTTTATATTTCATAATAATTTCAAAACTTAGTGAATAATGACTACAATAGGTTTTAATGTACTGTCAAAAAAGCAGCAGTCAAGTAAACCTTTACCCTGAGCTCTGAACCACATTTTCCTCAGGTTTATTCTATAAAAGAAATGAGTTGAAAATAAGCAAAACTAATTTCTAGAACATTTCATTGCAGAGAACATGTGCTTAATATGATATGGAGGAAATACAATACTCAGATTGGGTAGTTAGAACTCTGCTTCTTAACTGGTCTCATGAAAGAGACAGATGTGGGTCTGCATGACAAATAATGGGTAGTCACTGTAAGCAGAGAAAGGAATGTTGTTGGAGATTCCTATTTCTGTCATAATTTTCATAATTAACTAGATTAAATATATTGTCATGAAATCACCAGTGTAAGTAATTGTGAATTCTGTCCTTCGTGTTACTTGTGAAACCATTGCATGTGTTACTGATGAGACCATGTGCATTACTACAGAAGCTCCGGCTGTTTCATGCTAAAAGAGCTTGTGAACCATTTCATTGAAGCCTCTTTTTTATTTTTTTCAAACAAAATAAAGCTTTATGCTTGGGATTTGTTTGGTCCTGGAAGTGACAGGGGTCTTATGTTGAACCAAGAGTGACAAAGAAGATATACCAAGATTTGCATTTTTTTAAACAAGGGTATTCTTTTCCTAGAAGAGTGACATATCTTTTTTTTTTAAATTAAATGCATTTATTTGTTACTTTCCAGATATTTTGATTAAACAAATATCCTTTGAAAATGTGTATTCAAAATCCTTGCCTAGTTGCATAATGTTTATTCTTTCCAATTGATTAGGCAAATTCCTCCATTTTTTTTTTCTGGTAACTTCCCGATAACATAAATAGTATACTTGGTGAAGGACAAGAACCACTATTGAAGAATAATGATCATGTGGAGTGAGGGAAACTACATTGACCTTGAAAGAATACAGCAATCCATGGCAAGGTTGGAAGTGAGGACCTAGAGCTGCAAAGTGTATATATTTTAGGGAGTCATATTTGGAACAAGACATGCTGGACAGTAGAGATATAGGAGAAGTTACATGCTAAGTCTTCTCATTAATAATATCCATAAATCTGCATACATTTTTAAACATTCTGTTTTGTTTTATTTTGTTGAAATTTGGATGTCTCTACATCATTTCTGATTTGTAGGGCTAAGTAGAACTATTTATTCCAATGCAATTGTACAACTTTCATTTCTTGGCTAATATTTTTGTGTAATACTTTAATTTTCCTAACTGTGTGTTTGCTTGCTCTTACACTGAGTTCTTTTTCATTCCTTTAAGCCACTCCCAGTTCAGTCCATTGGAGCCATAGCTGCTAATTCCATAACTGTTTCTCCATGTCACCTGAAAATTCAGTGTACTAACAGTACCCTCTGTCTTCTAAGCTACAGATTTATTGTCAACTGGACTTATAAATGAGGATATATATCAACAAACAGTCCACCAGGTTCATAAGACGGTAAGCTAGGAATTCACAGCTTGCCTCCCATTTTCTCATACAGTTTGGAAAATGCTATATACATAAAACTTCAACAAGGTACAAAGGGGAAATACATTGACCCATTTCCTTGGACTTATTTCTTTATGTGAAACCCATCTCTCTTTCCTGCTGCAAGATATGGTACAAAACTCTCTAAGGCAACTAGACATGTACCTATACTCTCAAAGGTGTCCAAAATGCAAAAAGATAAGAACAAATATAAGAGTATTAGGACAAGAATGTTTTCTAAATGACTAAAAAATAAAATAATATCTTGTATTAATACCTTTGATAAAAATATATTCTCTTAGGAGAATTTGAAACTCTTGTTTATAAAGGAATTTATAAGTCAACTAATACCATTAGTTTCAATACAAGATTAATCTTTTGCCAAAAAAAAAAAAAACAATCTTAATAGGTTCAAGAGTAATTTTTTGAAATTTTCCTTGATGTTAAGTAGTTACTGGCTATATACCTTACAGGCATTAAAAAAGTATAATTCACATGTTCAATTCATGGCTAAAAAAAAATCTTAGAGAAAGTATGTAATTGTGTGTCAATTCTAGATGTCCAAAACAAACAAACAAAAAAACCCAACATCAAACAAAACCACATATCACAGCATTATCAAAAGTTTAAGCCATTTAGAATCTAACATCAGTTTGAGAGTTCAAGTCTCAAAAACCCTTTCCTTCTAGGTAACTTCTTTTCATCTTTATTGTAGTTGTTTATGAAGTAGCCCTCTATTAAGAACAACACAGTTTGATGTTTATGGAGTCCTGATTTATTTTTCCTTTGCTTTTATGTATACTAATCTTTGTGCATGTGAATTTTCTACCACGTTGCAACAGGCAAGCTTTGGTTCACTTTTCTCGTTTTACACAAAGGAAGATTTTGAGTGCAGAATCTTAGCTACTAGGTCCTGCATTGCCATTTTATTTTTCTCTCCTTGGGTGGATTATTGGAAGGACATGGGGAAAGGGAAGGAAAGAGTAAGGGAAGGGATAAGAGAGGGAAGAAGGGAAGAGTTCTCAGCTATGTTGAATCTTGATTCACGACTTTGCCTCCATTCATGGTTGGTGTTCCAGAACTTTTCCTTGAACGTCCTTGTTTTTCTCCAATTTCGTGTAGTGATGGTTCTCTGTACATACACACTGGAAAGCAAAATGACAATAATTACTTATGATAATGAACATCAATTTTGCTTCAATAAAATTCACAAATATTTACTTTAGGATATTCTTCACTTAATCACTGATTTTCCTCCACATTGTGAAAGGGTTTTAGTTTGATGTATGTGGCTATCCCTGGTTCTCTTCCAGTTCTATAAGTCATAACCCTTTAAGCCTTCTTATATTGCAGTATATAGGTTCTTTCAGTTTTCTGGTAGATAAGGTTGGAGTCTTTACAGCCTCCTAACCTATATAATAGGATTTCTATCCAGAGTTAGGGAAGAAATTGGAGGTAGAGCATTTGAAGTTAGAAGTAGCATTTTGCTTTTTTGGTCCATTTTCTGCAATTTAGTTTGGGAAGGGAAAAATATTTACTGACATGCTCCTAACCTTAACCTAACCACTGTAAGAATCATGACATTGTTGTGTCAAACTGAACTTTTAGTTCCAAATTTCAGGACATCCTATAAGAAATGATAATGGAGAGGAGGGAGAAGAGGAAAGAACATGAATCAATTTCCTTGATTACCCCAGATTTTCTTTGTCTAAATTAAGGGACACAGCCCATGATTTTTTAGTTATTCATCAATAGGGAATGTGATTATGCAACCATGAGATTTCATTTTGCATCTATTTAATGGTCCTTTTCTCCTCTCTGCTTTGTCTAACTCTAAAGCCCAGTCTGCAAACTAGCATGGCTGTTGTGAGATTACTGCAACAGAACAGTGTTTTCCAATTTATAGTTATTCTCCTAAGATAGGATCAATCAGCATGTTGAATCCATTTTTGCTTCATTAGACTGTTGCGAGTTAGACAAAACTGACTGTATAAGACATATTTCACTGACGTATCAGGAATTATTATTTTATCCTTCATTTTGGAAAAACAGCTAAGCATCTACATTTATTCAAGCATCACTCAATGGCTTAATAATATGGATGCTATTTCCTACATAACATAGTTTCCTCCCTTGGGCTTGAAAGGTTAAGAGTACAAGTTTGGAAGTCATACTACCTGGATCCACATCTTTTATTAACCCACTTTCTTGCTCCCTGCTCAATAAATCAAACAGGTATTTGAATTGCTGTATTCTTCCTTAGGAAAAAAAAAATGGATGCTTAGATAAAGCAAACTAAGGTCATTCTAGGAATTGTATGCAAATACAAAAAAAAAAATAAAGAAAAGAAAAGAAAGAAAAGGACAGAAAGAGAACAAGATCTTTATCAAACTTACAGATTAAATTTAATTTTTTATGCTTTAACTTTCATTCTTGTTTACAGCTCTGGAATTCAGTAATATATCTAAGTTAAGAAGGGGTATGAACCTCAATAAAATTTTAGAACTGAAACATAATCAAAATAGCGTAATTCATTTAGAATGCAAAAAAGAAAGGAAAAAGCTTTTTTTTGTAATACAACTGCCTTTGATAGCTGTATCAATTTTGAATTGCGCAAAATAAATGCCAAACAACATACAAGAGAAAAATGATGCGTAAGTGTTCGATAAAGTTCATTGTAAGTCCAAACTGTAAACCAAAACCTTTGTAATGAAAATAACAACCACAATGATGATCCCTTGAAAGATCCATCATTTTGAAGTATTCAAAGACATTTAAAATTGATTAAGTCATTTGATAATAATAATAGACCTATAAATATTGTAGGTAAGAAATTATCATCTTTATTTTTTCAAACATAAAAGAACCTAAATGTCTTCCCTAAAGCTAGATTGCGAGCAGGCAGAGAGAGGATAAGAATGCAGGGTTTCAAAGACCAGTAAGCCAGTAAAGCTGTAATTCATCAAATAAAGTATAAATGATTGCCGTATATTAGTTTAAAAGTTTCAACCATATATTAATCAGTATGTGAGCTGGCCTTACCTTTACTAAATATTTTAATGTCATCAAGCAATGATAACAATAAAAACAAATTCAGCATGGCTTTTATCAAAGAAAGAAAGAGTGAGCAAGTATGTGGAGAAGCTGAAATCCATGTGGATTGCCTATGTGGCATCTTTACTTGGACTTCTTAATAAGTTCTTTTGTCACACTATTGCAGACAGTGAAATCCACTTTTCTACTCTTCCCCATTTTAATATATAGCACCCGGTTGTTCTTGCCCAAAACTTAAGTGTCATCACTGTCTTCTCTCTTTACCTAACAACCTACACTCTATCCATTAGTATGCTCCATCTGCTCTGACTTCTAAATAAATCCAAAGTCATTCTTTCTACCTGTGGCTATAAAGCCCTCAAGGAGAAGCTACCATCATCTTGTCTAAGATCCTGGCCAATTTCCTTGCAATCTTGCTCCAAATCTGTAATGACTTCCAAACACATTAGCCACAATATCCAAAGTCCTCAAGGAGGTTACCAGGTCTTATTTTATCTGGTTCCTGCCTCTACATCTTCTGCCCTTCCCCATTTAATCAATCCATTCCAGTCACATGACCCTTCTTGCTCACAAGTGACAAGCTTGGATTACATTAGGGTCTTTGGAAACAATTTTGCTTGGAAACTTCTCCCACATCTTTTCATGGTTTACTACTGAGATTCCATTCAAATGTAATTAATCTGTGTCATTTTTCCTGAGAGGTTTACCTTGACTTCCCTATGTAAAACTGCCACACTTTTCCCCCTTAAATCTAATATCTAATGGTGTGTTTAAATATTTGCTCCTCTATTTATTGTTCATTTGTGTATTTATCGATTTATGCCTTTCTAGATATAAATGCCATGAAATAAACCCACAAATAAAAAACCTTTCTCTTAAGTACCACAGCATCCCTATTAGTTAGAATTATGAAGGATGCTCAGTGAGTGTTCTGTAATTATTTTACAAAGGAATACCCTTATCTATTATCTTTGGTGCCTCACTTCAGAAGATGATAGCTGGAGTAAAGCTTAACTTTCTTTCACTTTTAATGTCAGTGAATCTTTACTTTCTCTAAAGTTCTAAACTTGGGCTGACTGCCCTAAACTGTACCAGTACATAGGTAGAACAGATGATTTTGAAAGAATACAGCAGTGAATATCATGTGATAATCTACATTTATCTAGCTTCTCTAGTTTATTGATATCTGCATAAACAAGTAATATGTCTCATCTTCATAGAAATAAAAAAAGTCAATGGCAAATAAAATAAAACAGCAAAATTAACAACATCCCTTTCTTTCCCCCATATGACCTATGGTAAATTGTAGCCTAGAAAACAAAGGATAGTCTGAGAATCATAGCATCTAATGATTCCATAACTCAGTGTTTCTCAAAGTGTTTCCTCTGACCTGCCAACAGCAAGAGCAGTACCTACAACTTTAAGAACTTTAAATTACTGGACCAGCCTGGACATATAGAATTAAAAACTCAGAGGATGAAGTCCAGAAATTTATGCTTAAACAAGCCCTGCATGTGATTCTGGTTCACATTCAACTTGTAAAGCTGCTCTCTTTAATGCTTATATGAAAATCACTTCTATTGCTCTCTAAAAAACTGAATATTTGTCCATATGTCTTGCCTCTGCAGATGCTAATTTATAACAAGAACACACACAGCAACTGATAAAGAAGTACAATGAATAGCTTTATATAATAACAAAGCCTGTTCTCTTACACACACACACACACACACACACACACACACCCCTCACATTCCTGTTAGAAAAAGCAGGAGGTCTAAAGTTAAAAGGTAACAGTTATGGCCATAGCTTTGCCTTCTTCTAGCCCTAAGGACTTCAGTGAGTTATTTAACTTCTCTTAAGTTTAGATCCCTTATGTTTAAAATAGGAACAATAGGGCTGGGGATATGGCGCAGCTAGCAGTGTGTGTGCCTCGCATGCACAAGGCCCTGGGTTCAATCTCTAGCACCATAAAAAATAAGTAAAATAAAATAGGAACAATAAATATTAATCTGCATATTTTAATGGTTTTGGCGATTCTCAAGTGACAATCTGATTAGGGAAACAGGTTGAAAATAACAATGTGCTATGTGAATGGAATTCAAAGTAGTAGAGCTGCTACAAATTATTACTTCTATGTGGCTGCTGAATTCTTGACAGATTATTTGAAAGCAAAGTCCTGGGTAGAACTAGGTATAAATCTTTGTAAGTCCATGTTTCTCTGTAGCAGAGAGTTGGACCACCTGTGGGCTGGGCCATTGCCATTGTTGTTGTCAGGTTCTGTTTTTCTAATGGAATCAATATAATTTCTGTTTTGGATGAAATTTAGAAATTATGCACTCGAATAACCCCCATCCTCTATCAGTTTCCATGAAAAAATTGGAATATGATTAATCTTTTTATTACTACCAATTTAATCAAATTTTCCTTGGTCCTCTGTAATTTCCCAGAAATGGAAAGGTTAGATTGTTCTGTTAGTTAATGCACCATTAAAGATATTTAATTGTCTTAATAGCAGATCATAGAAGGGCGTGGGCAATTAACATGAAGCAATTTCACGCCTTAATTAATGTCACAAGGAATCCCTTTGGAACTGTAGGAGAATTTTAGTGCTGCTTTGGAAGCAATACACCATAAGAATGTACCCAGTATGACATAAATATTTATTACAAAGAGTTAACAGACATTGTAAATAAAAGGTCTCTATCTTCATTTAGAAAGAGAGCAGAAACAATATTTGTGTGTAGAAGAGGGAGAGGAAGGAGAGTTTTATTAAAGACTAAATTTAGAAACCAGCAAAAGTTGCTTTGAACAAGTTGGAATGGTGTGCAGGAAGAAGGTATCATAGGCCAGCAGAGATCCAGAATTCAAAGATGGAGAGAGCTAAGCTAATGTTTTCTCTGCCACTAAAGGGATCAGCATTATTTGAGATCCTGCTTTGCAATTTCTGTTTTTCTTTTTTAGAATAGTTGGTTCCAAAAGAGAATTTGGAAACAATCTATTGAGTTCTCATCCTAGATAATTAAAATAAAAATATCAAAATAAAATTGCCATTATTGTCTTCCCAATTGGGGCTTTACAACATAATGAC